TGTGTGTGTGTGGGTGAGTGGAGTGAGTGAGTGTGTGTGTGTGTGTGAGAGAGAGAGTGTGAGTGTGTGTGTGTGCGTGTGCGTGTGAGTGTGAGTGTGTGTGTGTGTGTAAACATTGAGAAGTGTGTGAAGAATCTTCAGGCTTCTAGAGCCGATCAAGTCCATGAGAACTGGATCCAATCCCAGTCGTTCTGAACGCATGAGCTTCCTCAGACCAGTGTTTGTGTGTCTGTCAGTGTTTGTGAGCACCAGATAAAGTCCCAGTCATCCTCAAACCTTCCGAAAGACCTCGAAGAGCGACGCCACCGAGTGCATGCGATAGAAGAGGTTCATGGGAAAGGCCAGGTTCAGCACCGTGGTCCAGATGCTGTATCCGAAGGTCTCCAGCTCCAGACCGCTGTCATACTGCGGACGGCAGCCGAAGGCTGGGAGAATCCATAGCTGAACGCAGAGAAGAAAAAAACCTTCAGCGCTCATACAATAATTCACCTAAACATGTCAGTTCTTTCATCGTTTGCATGCACTTTCAGACACGTGTGACTTTCTTTCTTTGGTGGAACTCAAAACGAGAAGATGTTTAGCTGAATGATCACCTGCACTGCAGAAAGTGTTTCTGTCTTGTTTGTTATGCATTCAATTTAAACTACTTAAAGGGGTCATATGATGTGATTTCAATTGTTCTTTCTCTTTGGAGTGTTACAAGCTCTTGGTGCATAAAGAAGATCTGTAAAGTTGCAAACACTAAAGTCTCAAAGCCAAAGAGATATTCTTTATAAAAGTTAAGAGTCAGCCACACCTACCTAAAACAGCTCGTTCTAACACGCCTCCACATGTCTACATCACTATGTGGGAAGATTTGCATAACGCCGCCCAAATGTTCACGCAAAGAAAGAAGGCGTAACTTTTATTCTCGCTGTAGTATTGTTGCTGCCGCCGCCATGTCGTGAAGACGCTGTGTGCTTCGTTGTGAAAGCGAAACTACTTTGTTTGGTCTTCCAAAAGAGGACACGACTAGAAATCAGTGGTTAAGTTGTATTTACAACACTGTTCCAGAACACTTCAACCCAAATATTCAGATGTGTGCAGCACATTTTATGGAGGACTGTTTCCTGATCCTGGGAGAGTAGACTACAATGCCGGCTGTTCTGACTCACAGCCTGTAAGTACGTTTTTTATATTTAAAGGATTTGCCACTGACGATTCAAACGTGACTTTTGAGCAGTGTAGAGTAGCGCTTGTTGTTTGTCATTTCTCCGATCACAAATGCAGACATGGTTTTATGTTTACGTGGCGCGATGCAACGCAACGTGTAAAAAGACAGTATAAGTCATTATAATCAGTAATTATGTCCCCACTGGATGCAACAAATGCCTGGTTTATAATGGGTTTTAATGTGTTTGTCTCGTCGCTCCGGCCGGACAGGGCATCATCACAGTATGGTGAAGGGCGTAACATTTCCGTCTCACGCTTGAGGTATTCGGCCAATCACAACGCACTGGATAGCTGGCCAATCACAGCACGCCTAGCTTTTCAGACCGATGAGCTTTGTACAAATCGACTTGTTTCAGAAAGGCGGAGCATAGAGGAGAAACAATAATGTACAGTATGTGGAAAATGTGTTTTTTTAACCTTGAACCGCATAAACACATTTCATTACACCAAATACACAAAATAATGTTCTTTTTAGCAACATCATATGACCCCTTTAACAAACTGTAGCTGTAGTGTTTGCCAACACTGCTGCAACCGGCTGCAACACACTCTTTGCACTTCAGTTGATGGCGCTGAAGTGAATGAGGAAGACATCTGAAGTGCTTCCACTTTTAGATGCTAAATATTCAGCAAAATTTTATATTTTAGTCAGAATTACAGTAATGTCCTGAAAAGTCACCTTCTCCTCATGTCATACCTTTGTCATTATACAAATGTATGTCCTCATTTGTCATAAAAACGCGCACACACACACACACACTCACACACACACTCTCACACACTCACACCCACACACACACACACTCAGACAGACACACACACACACACACTCACACACACACACACACACACACAGACACACACACACACTCACTCACTCACTCCCTCACACATGCTCACGCACGCGCATGCGTCACTTCTCACCGAGATGTTGCACATGAAGAGGAAGATGGTGATGTTCTTCAGGATCTGCCTCTTCCTCCCAGGTGTCACGTTGAGCCGGTTTCCCACAGGAAGTGTGACATCAGTCTGCTTCCTGCTGAACGCCGCTCTGTCCTCGGGTGTCTCTCCCCCCAGAGTCGTGCAGAGCTTGTCCTGCGTCTCGTAGGCACGGTTCACGATGCCGTCGTACGGCGGGACCACGGGCGCCGGTGTGACGGAGAAGATCTCGGGCACAGGCACGTCGTCCGGATCTCTGCTGCGGCGGTACAGCGACTCCACAATGAACAGGTTCTGCACACACTTCTCCAGCACCAGCAGCAGCGAGTACGCCAGGCAGGTCCAGCGGAAGCTCGGAGAACTGCGTCCCGCCGCCGCCACCGCCACCACGCTGCACCACGACATCAGCCAGGAGCCCAGCGACGAGCCCAGCAGCAGCTCCGTATCCAGCGTGCGTGACGGGTTCGAACCCATGTCCATGGGCCAGTCCTCCACGCGATACACCAGCAGCCCGGCTCCACTCGCGACACACATGCAGCTCAGCATCACCACGCCGTAGCAGTAGAACATGGAGACGGCGGCCTGAGAAGACTTCTCCACGTGGATGAGGTAGACCACCAGGACCGTGACGGAGCTGGCCAGCACCAGCAGACCCAGCAGCGGGCCGAGCAGCAGACACGGGCTCCTCGTGCTGGGACGCTTGTGGTTGCTGTGGAGGTCCAGCGTCCGGCCGATGTTCTTCCACATGACGAACAGCATGGCCGAGACGAAGATGTGGTACTCGATGTTGAAGGGGTACAGGTAGTAGAGGCTGGTGGAGAACATGGAGCAGACGCTGGTGGTGCAGTTACAGTCCGGCTCCGCTTCCACTGTGCACACACACACACACACACACACACAGACACGCACACAGACACAGAGAGAGAGAAGATAAGCTGACAAACGATCAGATTCACGCAATGGGATTCAATGAAAACAATGGGAATGCTCTCCAAATGACTGAGAAATAAGGATGTCGAATGGAGCCTTTTCACACCTGCAGGATTCTCGTCATAGACAGATATGAATTTTCCATTTCCAGTAGCATAAGAAAAAAAACACCATACCGTTTCCTCAGATTAAATCATAGAAAGATTGTACTATTTACATAATGTAGTACAGAAAAATAACTCAGTATAGAACACATAGAAAACACTTTACAATAAGGTACCATTTGTAAACATCAGTTAACATAAACCAGGGTCAGTACAGTTAACAAAAACCACTTAAAATAAAATTTGAATGAGTTAAAACTTGAGGTTCTAAAAAAGAAGGCAAATCTTATTTTATTTCATCTAGTTCCAAGAAAACATTGCTCATTTTCATTTAGTTTAATGTGATGTTTTAAAATAATTACAACTAAAAGTCACGTCACCTTTATTTGTATAGTGCTTTATACAATACTGATTGTGTCAAAGCAGCTTTACAGTGTCAAACAGGAAAAGAGTTAATTATCTAAAATTAAAATTAATAGAAACTATAATAGTATCTCAACGCTACTAAAATAACACTGACATGAACTAACAATGAAAAATAATTCATTAATTTTAGTTAAACATCAACATTTACTAATATATTATTATGCTTTTATTAACTAATTAAATACTAATAAATACATTAATTACTGTAAATGAATAACAGATGTTTAGGAATTAAGTGATTTAGTAATGTTAGTTAATGCATTAACCAATGTTAACTAATGGGACTTTATCATAAAGTGTAATGTGAAATCTTTGCTAGATTCAGGATGGTAATATGTGTGGAAACACATCGTCACTGTCAGTGAAAAGAGTCCACTGGAGTTTGAAATAGAATTGAAAGAAATTCTGACTCTTTGATGCCATCTAGAGGATCAATTCACCATAAAACCATAAACCTACTGCAAACTATAGCAAAAGTTTCTACTTGATAATGAAGAGCTGTGGTAGCAGAAAGAGACGAGAGGGGAGGGGAGGAGATGAGAGGAGAGAAGAACAGGAGACAAGAGGAGAGGAGACGAGAGGAGAAGAGGAGACGAGAGGAGACGAGAGGAGAGGGGAGGAGATGGGACGAGAGGAGAAGAGAGGAGGAAAGGAGACGAGAGGAGAGAAGAACAGGAGGCAAGAGGAGAGGAGACGAGAGGAGAAGAGAGGAGGACAGGAGAGGAGAAGAGAGGAGGACAGGAGAGGAGAAGAGAGGAGGA